CCAGATAATTGCTACCGAGGTAATCAATTAAAAACTTTTGTTTGTGCCTTTGTTTGGTGGTAAGGGTTAACCCTTAATTAGGCGCATGGGGTCAAGGCCATTTCAAGTTGAAAAAAAATTATCTTGGAATGCTTGAGCGTGCTCGCACCTCATGCGACTAATTGTGTGATTTTCTTTATGCGCCTAATTAAGGGTTAAAACAAAAACGCCATAAATACACATCCAGCGGGCATCGATGGTAATAATTGTTCTTTTACGGCGTCCTAAATGTATTGTAATGCTAACTTGGGGCCGTTTTCTGAAGTAACGTTTAATTTTAAAGCTCACTTTATTATTGTACAGCCCACGGCGACTGTCCTTTGGAGTTTGGCAAGCAGATTTCTCACGATTTTGATTGAGAGTCTCCTCCACATATATGTAGGTATAAATCCAGAGTATTCCATTTGATGACAGACCATCCTGAGGACAGCCCTTGTTAACACAGCACGTGAAATACATATTGACCTCCTTCTGCGTGAATCCTGATGAGCAGCATGAAACGAAATGAGTAAACAAGTACAGAAGCTACAGAAGCAAAGACTTTCTGCGCTATATCTTAAGGAACTCAAAGACCAGCGAAGGGAGTGAGATAATCAAAGAGATAATAATAATAATTTCTTCCAGCCAGAAGTATATACCTCATAAGCATAAGCATAAGTATATACCTCCTTCAATCCTTCTGTGATAGCCGTAACAAGAAGCGAGTTACTTCGCCCTGAACTGCATAAGCTTATTATCGTCTATTTCTTTATACAAGTTTTTCGAGTGGTCTATGAAGGTGGTTTGTCTGTTCGAGAGGCAGACTGGTTTCGCCCTTTGCCAAGTCATCTGCTATTTAATACCTAACCCTATATTCCTTTGTAGCCGGACACCCAATAAATATATAGCCTTCTATTTTCGACCAGCCTGTCAATGGCTTCCCTGTTGTGAAAGTCGTTCTAGATGAAATGCTAGATGAGGTAACTGCCTTAATTGCCGCCTGTCTGTCTACGTACGGGTTTGATGTTGATGATCGCTTCTGCTATGTTGCTTTCCTCATGGTGAAAATCTATGTTTTAAATACCCGCCTGACGTTCAGTTCCCGGCACCCACTCCCGTTACTGTTTTAGTGCAGTCTGTGAAGATGTTTAGGAAATCTATGGCTAAGTTTCATGCCCTTGCGCATCCCTCCGCTTCAATAGTTAGGCGAAATCATCGTTACAATTTAGAGCAAGCAGCCAAATTGAGCTGTACCCAAAGGCTTTGTTATTGAATTCCGCTAGGGAAGCTAGCGCAGCCGTTGGAATGGACCTTAGCGCTCCCGTAATGAACTTCTTTGCAGATAAGTTCTAACTATTGCCAGGTAGCACCAATGAAACAGGGCATGCGGCAGACCCCAAGTGATTCCCAGCATTCCTATTCATGCATATAGGATGTTGCTAGTCTTCTTCATTCTTTTCTCAATATTTCGCCTCCGTAACAGCTTACTCCCTGATACTTTGTGACGTCTTTAATTGACAGCGTCGGGGGTGTTTACAATGGGGCCTTATACCTTATTGTGAGTGCATGAGCTCTATTTTGTCTGCGTTAATTCCTAGCCCCGCTGGAGATGCCCATTGGTCAGTCATTTTGAAGGTGCTGTTCATTATTTTACCGATAGTGTCTAGACACTTCCCTGTTACTACTACGACTATGTTGTCTGGATGCGTCACCATTATGAGTGTTTTTCCTTCTTCCCGAATTTATTTGGTCATTTTTGTTGGTGTCTCTGCATGCCTGCCTGCTTACCGCAACGTCGTTCCACTCCGCTCTTATTTTTCTGTGGCCCAAAAAGAATTTAATCTACGACGAAATAGCTCGTTTTGTTTATACCTATTGGTTTGATGCAATTCAGCATGGCTTCACTTGATATTTCTAAATGTGTTGTGCTAACGAGAGTAACACAGTCTCTGTGGACTTGCCCTCGGTGTACGCAATACGCAATGCGTACACGCATGTACAGGCCAAGAGGCCTTACGGCAGAGTGTCCCTCATGTGAGTGTCGCGAATTTTTCCTAGCGTTTTTTTTTTGAGCAATGAGGTCAGACTTAAGAGCCTGATTTCCTCAAAAAAACCGGGTCGCTCTGGCCCGCCTTGGGTATAAAAACAACCCTCTCTAGAGCTGGAAAACTATCGATGGCACTATCGATAATATCGATGGTTTTTGACTATCGAAAACATGGATGGTTTTGTAAACACTTTCGATAGTTTTCACCTTCATCTTGTGATACGGAAAGGACATTTAGCAAAGCAGGGCAAATAATTTCAGAGCGCAAATGCTGCTTGAAGCCAAAAATCGTTGATAATCTTTTGTTCCTTAACAAATATATGGACATATTTTAGCAATTCTGATCTCATTTTCAATAAAAGATGTTATGTTTAATTTTTGGACATTTGGTTGTGACTATCGAATATCGAAACTATAGATGGACACACGAACATCGTAGCAAGACTGGTTAAATGTATTACGTTTACTGCCGGGGATTTGTAGAACTAAAAACTTATATCTGCTCTTTCTACTTTTGGGGGAAGTTATAGCGTTTGTTTAAATCGAAGAGAACATATATGTACATATATAGAACTTTGGGCGCTAGTAATGGTTGCAAATGTTGTGTGGAAAAGGCTTAAAGGAGATAAATTAGATATATAAGAGAGTTTGTATAGTATCTACGCTGAAGGAAAATCGAATTGAAGAAGTGATAAAAAAAATGCTGGTTACCTTTTATCGAACAATTAAGGGTGCCTTTAACAGGAAGGGGACTGAGCCGAACGGAGCCGTTTCGAGCTTTAAAATTAATGTACTTTTATGAAATTTCTCATACAACAAGCTTTTCTAGAAAATATTATTTGAAACTGAATGAATTTTATAACAAATTATTATTTCGGAACACCATTTGATAAGTAATTCATGGCGGCGTACCTAAAATGAAATTCGCAAAACTTCTCCCACGAAGCAACTGTAATCTGCAGAGATGATCTGAAATCGAACAGATATTTGTGTTGCGAAAGTAAGTAATTTTGAACAGGAATAAGGCACTTAAGCCGAGGAAACCATATAATTATCGAACACAAGCCGACCTAAGGCAGCAGCCGCCAGATTAATAATGAAGCCATAGAACAATTTTATGTAAGTATGAAAGTATGGATGTATGAAAAATAGCAACAAAACAACAATCTGAAATACACCCTTGCAATCAGCGCTCAATAGGAAGAGTATGAAAAACACGGAAACGACATAGAAGAAAAAAACTATTGAATGGAAAAATTGGAAAAATGTCACCCCTGCGTTGACAGTAAAGGAAAATAAACTTGCACATACTTAAATAAAAAATAGTATTGCAACACTTTTTTACAACAAACAAAATTTGTATGAGAATCTGCCGCGAAATTGCCACAAAAACAGCTGAGGCTCATCACTTGGCTTGGCAAAGGGTAAAAACGATAGCGGTGGTAGAAAGGAAGGCCGTCGTGTGTTGTACAGCGCGTTTGTAGCGATCGCGGGCGTTGATTAGTTACAACAAAAGTAAGAAAAACAAATACATAGTTGTGTTGCCACAAAAAACTAGGAGAGGAGGAAACATACATACATAAAAATTTTCAGCTTGGCAGCAACAACATGAAATGGAATTCGCTGCCAAAAATACAACACGCTTCCGATTTCGCATTTGAAATTTAATCGCACGCGCGCGCACAGGCGGAACTGTCACGCGGACAGCCAACTAGTCAGCAAGCAGCCAGTAAGCCGGTGGTGAGGCAGTGAGCCCGCCAACCGCACAGTCAATGCCACACAGCGGCTGGAGAAAAACGCCGCCCACACCCCTACTGCTGGCACAATACGCGCGTTTTTGTTGTGTTGCAATAACAATCATTAGTTCTTGCAACATTGCCGCTGCTGAACTACAAAATACACAAAGACTAAAAACAAAAACAAAAAAAATTTGAACAACAAACAAAGCGCAAGCGAGCATAAATGTTTTCAGCGTAATTGCGCTCGCATGCGGCCTGTGGCACGTGACGCACGTTGAAAAATGATGCTTGCGCTGCTGCCAAACACTCTGCAATGCAACAGCAACAACAACAACAACAACCAAGCCTTTTTGGTCACTATAAAGTGGGAGAAGAATAGCTTTCGCTGCACACAAAATGTAAAACCAAAGAGGCTGCACGCTTCCTCATCCTCATCCTCATCCCCCTACTCTCACGCTGCGCCTTGATCATGCAGCAACACTT